GAGGTTCTCTAGTTTTTGCTTCGATAGAAGTTTGTGGCCAGGAATCGACTTCCAATGGATGATTACAAATTCGAGAGGAGAGTCAGGGTCCCTCTGGGACCGGGATGGCTTTCTAGAAGCCTTCCTCCCAGAGTGAGCCCGCTCGTGCTTGGAAGCCTGGGTACCCATTTTATGGTTCACGCGTGTCTGGGTAGAAAAAGGGAGAGAGATATAGGGTCGGTAAGGGTTTATAGGGGCCTGGGTATCTTTCTCGTTGCTTGGCAACCTCTTAACGATTTAGTGAGCTCTTAATATTTAGTTCTCTTTTCCTAATTTCCTCCTTGTCCTTAATTAACAATCAGGGGTCCCTTTCCACTCTGCCAAACCCGCCCAATTCCTCATGAGCTATCCCTCCTGGCAACCTCCTACCTAGCGTTACAATCTCAGAAAAGGGAGCCCTACTGGACGCCCGCGCTGTGCGGTGCCAGATCGGGTGGTCCCCGGATAGGTTTCCGAATCGAAAATCCCCCTTGCTTTCGGAAGCGGGCTCACGATGCACGTGGTCCGACCGGTGCGGCTGGGATTGGGATAGAAAAGCTAGACCACTTCCTGCCTCCTAGGAAGGACGCTCGGGAAGCTCGGAAAGAGAACTCCAACCCCTTGCTTTCAACTGAGATGCCCGTTGCGGAGAGTCGGCTTATTTTGAAGTCGGTTCTCTCCGTCTTACTTTCGGGCTCCCAATTGGTGCGGCTGGCTGGAGGGTTCAGAAAAGAGATAGAGCTCAGAACCCCCCTTTCGGGTCGAGCGGTGGTCCACGGTCTTTCTCGCTAACCGGACCAAGAGAAAGGTGAGAAGGAACGATAGAGAGGAGGGCAGAGAATTCAGTTGCCAGGAGACTTCCACCCCTACCCACCAGTGCACTGGATTTTCCTATACTCACGCGTCTTCTACGATGATCCCGGGATCGATGAATAAGCCGGCTGGATCCCTCTTTGCTCCCCGGCTGAACTCCTAGGGCTTTCGATTACCGCCCGGAAGATGGCCGGAGGTCCAAAAGGATCTTCCCAGGCAAAATGGCCCGGAGCCGGCTGAAGATTTCGGGGCCCCCGGTCAGCAGTTCGGGAGAACCGCCAGCCCCACGTTGGGCGCCAACTGTTACGGTAAAATCTGGGTGCGGGGTTACTCTGCCACCCAGCTCGTCGGACTGAGTCCGCGGGTCCCTGCGGGAGAAAATGAGCTCAGCCGGAGACGGGAGCAAGTTCCAGGAAATCCAAGTTTATTGCGCAACAGGTTCAAGATGAAATTGAACCCCGAGTAAGGGGTGACAGGAGTTTTTGAAACTTCCCTCCATGTCCCATAATACAGTGCGAAACGCGTCATGAATACATTACAAAGAGGTTGGGTTACATGGGTGATATCACAGAGAGGTTGGGTTACACGGATTAGCATAGAGGACAGGGAGGAGGGAATATGCAGAGCTGAAGATATGCATAGATAAGCACTTCCTGAGTACCGGTGATGAGAAGACAATGGTCCGAATATGTAAAGTCTGCCACCTGGTATTGCCCGGAGGAAGGGCTGGGCGAGGTGATCTGACCAGATTAAGGTCTTCCTGAGTACGTGACTCCTCGCTCGAGGGATTATGGAGTCCTGGAAAGGCTGAGTCGATTGACACCAGAACCAAGGAAATCGGAGAAGGGGTTGATTTTATATGAATTTAAGAAGTTTTCAGTCTATTTCGTCCATTCTTACAATAATAATAGAAAACGGAAACAAACTAGATACATTTGACAGTTTTACGAGCTAAACTGGATACATTGTAACAGGGTTTGACAGTTTTACGAGGTTACGAGTTTCGATTCCATTGTTCTCTCAGCGGGGAGCTGTCAGCAGCTTGTCAAGAGGTTAAATGAGGCGTGCAGAGGCTCGCTGAGCTGGTTCTGCAGAGCAGATGCACGTATCTGATTGGTCAATACGCGGCCATTGGAACAAACGGGGATGTATTTTGACACGGTCGACTCATAATAAAGATGGAGCGAGAGAAGGGATAGGGGCTTGGGAGTTTTGGGCTTATTTCGCCCGTGGAAAAGGGGAAAAGGGTTGTGTGTGGTGCTTGTGCGACAGTGAAGAGGCTGGGGAAGGGGTGCAGAGTGTAGTGGGCGCTCTTGAGGTCATCGTTTCGGACGTGGGAGGGTGGACCCCCCCCCCCCCCTTACCGTATCAGTACTGTTGTTATACATATTTATCAATGCTTCCCTCAATAACTATGCACAGCTGTATGGTATAAATATAGATGAGATGATTAAGAAAGAAGTCTTACAAATATGTTTTCATTAACTTCTGTAAAGACAGAAGATTCCGCTGATTAAATACAGTTGTATAATTAGTGCCTGTAATGGGAAGCATGCACCTCTGGTCAAAAGCTGAACTGGAGAACTATATGGGCTTTTTCTTTATTTCCCTATAGGTACACAGGATGTGAAGTGCCAAGTAGAAAAAGGGAGAGACAGCATGCATGGAAAGGTATATCATTTGAATTGAAAGAAGCCTTCGAAGGTGTGCAGACTGCTATCTTCATTGTTTCACATGTTGGGGGAATAGGGAGCTCTGTCTGCAAACTGAGGGGAGATGGACATTGTGAGTGATTTGAATCTCCTTTCAATTGTTGGCTCAACTCTTTGGGTGAGAAAAGAGAAAGGTTTTCTTAAAACACTTCAGCTGGGGCCAGATAAAGGGATCAGTACCACACAAGCTGGGATGGTGCCTGAATCTGGGTAGTGATCTCCCACCATGGCACCGAACAAACAAAACAGATCAGAATCCTTTCTAGGATGGCCGTTTTCAGCTAAGATTAAAGTACATGTTAATGAAAGCTATTAACTGCTGGAGTGACTATTCTCTCTCTCCCCCTGCCGCCAACAGACTGTGTAGTTGTACAACACAAAAATCTGAAGTTTAGGAGAAATCCCCATTATACAATTTTAAAACAGAAAGCTAACAAGTGCTGGCAAACAAACATACTCATAGCAGGGGAGGAATAATGAAAGCTCAGCACAACCTAAAAACATAAAAAATGTTTTCATTATGTGCCAGAAAACCAACAAGGATTGAGCCAGCTGGACTGGTTGGAGAAACGAGTGCCAGAAGGCAGCACTTGAAAGGCCTTGTCCTGCCTCTCTGCCAATCAATCAATCAATCAATCAATCAATCAACTGAAGTCAAAGGAACATGGGTCAAGGCCTCAGGTAACAACTGCAGAGGGTGGGCACGTTAAAAGAGGATAAAGTGGTACCTCAAGTAACCAGGTCACAACCTTTTAGGGCTTTATAGGTAATAGCTAACATACTGAATTCACAGTGTCAGGAACCACCAGATCTGATGGTTCTTAAGAAGTGAAGCAGGATCCTGTGGCATCCAGTGAGTACCCCAGATGGAACCCTGAGGACTCCATACTACCTGAGGCCCAGCCAGAAGGGTGTTTTCCCAGGTGACATCCTATCCAAGGGAGTTCTGATAGCAGGAGGCTTATTTGCAACTATGTCTTGAATGTTTGCGTGTCTGATGTCATATGATGTCCAATATATGACACCTGGGCATTTACTCAAAATGGCCTTGTGGGTCAAATCAAGAGGGCTGGCAAGCCTATTTAGGCACACAGACTGCAGTTTCCCCACCAGTAAACTATGGAACTATTTAACTTTAAACTGTATACAATGTAACAAAGCTCTAAGCAATTGAAACTGAAGCTGACTAGAATTCATCAGGAAAAAAACTATGTGCAGTTGTACTTTTCACATATAGATATCAACTGAAGCATTAAAAATTTAAAAAAAAAAAATAGGCAAAAAGTGCTTCTGCAATTAAAGACTGTAAATCAACTGACTGGACCAAGAGGAGCCCAGCAAATCCCTTATTCTGGCAAGCTGCCCACAAAAAAGCTGCAGGTGGTAAGACTGAAAGAAGCCTGTATCCAAACCAGAAACTTAACTGCTCTGAAACCCAATGCCTCAATTATCAAGCTTTATTTTATGATGACAAAAGTGTAAATGACATGTTATAATGTGAAAAGTAAAATGAATCATTCACAATGAATTGCTTTTCATCTCTTATTGTTCCTTATGCATTATTGTTCCTTAATATTACTTAACAACAGCAGTAATAATAATAGTTGAAAATGATTAAAACTGGAATGACACATATTCAAATAATTTAACAAGAAAAGAAAAAAGAAAGGAATTGCACTCTAATACAAAAACATGGGCAATCAAAATAATTGTTTGCCTTGCTGTTCCAGAGGGCAAGGGGATCAATTGTTGTTTCTCTTATTCCTTTTGTGGACACTTGCAAATTGCATTTCCTTTGTTCCCTAATCTCCCCTGAAGTAGGACAATCCTTGACTAAGATTTGCATTCCAGATCCAGCACCTCTTCAAATATCCTGGAATTTCAGTTTCTAGGAGAAGAAAGAAGCAACTCACACTTGCACATAACCAGGTTCCATTTATTTCAGTCTTAGGGAAAGATGGAAGAGTCCCAGGCGCCATACAGTGCATATGCTATGTTTACATAAAAATGCACAAAGCAGTGCACAAAATTTAATGCTTAATTTAAAAAAAATTAGTAACACCAAGTGCCTCTTTTTTAAAATAAAAAAGTTTAATACTAAATCTGAAGCTTATTTTTATATTGACTTAAAATTGAATCAATCACATCTATCAATCACACTGGCTTGGATCCAGAGACACTGTGAGAAGCATTCACGCATGCTGGTGGAAGGGAAGAGAGATTTTCACTAAATCCATAGGCTCCATCCTGTATCTTATTCCAGTAATGCACCAAATCTATCTGAGTGGTCGTAATAGACTGTCCTCTATATCTTGAATGATCCGATCACAGCTTATTGAGATTGAGGTATGCATGATCCTTTCCCTGCACACGCAGCCTCATTGCTCTTCCCTTCACATAAACCACAATTAAACCAGAAAGACTTATGAACAATAATTTTCCATTTCATCTGAAAAAGGAAACTCTGGCTACCAATTTTGGAGCAAGCCAGGATATTACACCACAGCTGAAGCTGGTTTAATATCCCGACTTGTTCCAAAGTTAATAACCATAGTTCCCTAGTATGGGTAAAAAGGGGAAACTATGATTAAACAGTGACTAGTTCCTAGTTTGATTTGCTGTGTTCTACAAAGGGGCTGCACTTATGGACAATAGGCTTCTGCATACCTTGACTTTAATATGCTGAGATATGATAGTTCAAATACAGTGTGTTCTGTTTTTATATTATAAATGTTTACAACTCAACAAAACATTTACATAGGAAATCAGCCCTGAGTGCTCACTGGAAGGACAGATCCTGAAGCTGAGGCTCCAATACTTTGGCCACCTCATGAGAAGAGAAGACTCCCTGGAAAAGACCCTGATGTTGGGAAAGATGGAGGGCGCAAGGAGAAGGGGACGACAGAGGATGAGATGGTTGGACAGTGTTCTCGAAGCTACGAACATGAGTTTGACTAAACTGTGGGAGGCAGTGGAAGACAGGCGTGCCTGGCGTGCTCTGGTCCATGGGGTCATGAAGAGTCGGACACGACTAAACGACACAGTTTAGGAAGTTTGCCAGATGTAATTAGCTTTTGACACGTGCTGATTTCAGAGAATTAAAAGCCTCTAACACACAGCTCAAAACACACATGAGTCTAGCTACCACCTCACACAGGTGACTAACCTATCTTAATTAGCTTCTGATGTCCTAAGCCTTAATTAAATTCTAGCACATACAAACCCATAACAATATATAACACTCTAACCCACCTCTGAGTAATCTAAACCATGAGGAACTCTCTTGATAGATGCTTTAAAAAAAAAGACAGGAGAAAGATTGCATTCACTTTCCTTCTTAGTGTCTACAACAGAAGATTTACACTAAATGAAAAACAGAATAAACAAAGCAGGAGGTTTTAAGCTCTTACATGCCTTCTGGTATTCCTCCTTGGAATGTAATGCTAACCTAACAACATCCACAAGGACAAAAGTTCTAAATTAGTCTAGATCAATAAGAGCATAATTATAGAAAAGTTAGCTAGTGCTCTACCAAAACATGGGTGCTTTTCATGAGCTTAAAAACATGTTGACTCCATCTAGCACAGAGGTTTCCAAACCTTTCATGTTGGCGACACACTTTTTGACATGCATCATTTTGCAACACAGTAATTCAGTTTTACTAGCAAACCTGAGGTTAAACTAACCCCTTTCCAGCCTTAGGAGGAGCGTGGGGAGCATTCGCACGACACACCTACACACTGTGCGATACACGCACAGTTTGGAAAGCTCTGATCTAGCATATACTTTACTTCTCCTTTGACAACACCTCAAGCAAATGCATGAAAAACACTAAAATTTATCAAGAATGCTTTCTTTTTCCATATAGAGTAGTCCCTGTTGTGCACTACTTTCTCTTCTTCAAAATCATAAAAAGGATATTTCTACAATATTTTCCACCTAATTCTGTAGAATCTATTTCCATGGGTATTTATGCTGGAGCAGAAAGAAACTATATTCCATTTTCCTCCCTTTCAATGTGCATTTTAGTTTTCCCTTTGCAAACACATCTGTTAAGGCTAAAGGTTCTAACTCAATGATTCAGTACAAAGAACCAATAACAAGGATTACTTCTTTGTGGAGTGTAAACAGGATTAAATGGTGATTTTTAATGTCTTAGAAACTGCAAAACAACAGGGAAAGGCCAATTGTCCTCCTAAATGAACTGTTGCGATAAGTGCCAGCTGAAATGCTGCACCGAAAAGTAGAACTGCTTGCTCTTTTTTGAATAACATAGGTGCATACTTAACTAGATAATCATCCATTGACTTGAGTGAATAAGGACTGCAACTGTCAGTGGAATTATTAGTCACTTTCTTGCAGCTTAATATATATTAAAACAGAAATCAATTATTTTTTAATATACACCTTGTGTGCTCCCCACTTTCAGTCCCACCATTATCAAAAGGCAGAATTAGTGATCAAAATTTTCATTACACCAATATTGCTATCTGGGCTTTTTTCTCCTACATATTTCTTGCACATTTTAAAGACTTAGATGCTATCATCTCATGCCCTGCCTACTAAATATCCTAATTTGGACTATGCTTTGTCAGAGTGGTGGATACAGCTTCACAGCTGCTGGTGTGGCCTATTCACCTTTCTGCAAGGACCTGAAGTTGATGCTGAATGTATTTCCTCAGAGTCCTAACTCGGATTCCCAGACTTTCAGCGATAAGGTTCCTATTCTTACAGCACTCCAGCCATGTCTGAAGTCGGCTGTAGCACTGCAAATCATCTGGCTACTTTCTATGCCAGCACTGCACTGACTTGGGCAGTGTTGGCTTCACTTACCTGATCTGCTTCAACCAAATGTTACTGAAGCAGCATGAAAACTGCCACACTGCAGCAATTCCTATGATGTTGCTGGTAGAATATGAGTTGGGCTTTGGAACATTTATTTTTAAACACTGTAAACATTGTTCTCTACTATACTGCCCCTCACTTTTCTCCACTGTTGTTCTTTACTTAGCTCCCCCGACTCCAATGTACTTCCATCTTCCATTACACTGCATATTATTTAACCTACTTATCAAGGTTCAGCCATAAATCAGACTTTATTTCTCTCCCTCCTCCACCCTCACTCTCTCTTTATGGATTTAGAGAGAGTTCCTAATGGATTATTTTCAGCCCACTTATTAAATGTGCAGTTTGCCTCCTATGCTTGATTATAATTTTGGTTTTATTACCAATCGCACGATACCCACGGCACCCAAATTAAACCACATATGCTCTATTTATCCCTATTTTCCATATTGGGTGACACTGGAACATGCTGGTCAATAACCACACAGTTTGAAGTTGGAGTTAACTCTTCATTGGCGAAAACATGGTCTCCACAGACTTGGTTGAGTATCATGTCTAGCAGAGCAGCTCATTCCTGGTGGTCTTACTCCATGAAAATCAGTTGCCAAAACTGAAAGACCCCCACCTCCTCCCAGCAGTCTAACTCCCCTCCTCTCCAGGGCTTTTCCCAAGCAATCCGAGACAGTGTCTGTGTCCAGCCAACCTCTCCTCCACCCTTTTCATGCCCCCTCTGGTTCTGGAAGTAGGGAAGGGAGCTTGTCGCAGCAGGCGGGGGAGACACCCGTGGCTCTTCACCAGCCTGACTCATCTCTGCCTCTTGGCCTCCCTTCTCCCACTGTCCTGGTTTAGCTTTTGCCACTGATTCTGAACTTTTTGCTGCCACAGACTCACAAAGCCCTGCTACCTATTCCATTTCTGACACCTTCTCCTCCTAATCTTCTCCTTCTGACCACTTATCACTGTCCCACCACCACTCCATGGGCTCTGAGCCTTCCTCCCTTAGTGGTTCCCCAGCTAGTTTGCCCTGCCATTCCTCTGCATCCAAACAGTCCATGACATTGGGTCCCTATTTTATTGGACCTGTTTGTGTTTTAAACACTAGTATACATATTTGGCCTTCTGGGGATAAATTCAAGATGTGTTTTTGAAAAATTGTTAGCATGTGCATACATGCACTGCAGTTCCTTGGGTGTTTGACTCCTCCATAGGTTATCTGTAAGCTAAATTTCTGTGAGTAGGAGAGAGACACTGACTGTATAGCAGAAGCATGCAAATACAAACACATGAACACAAAGCCAGTACTTTGCTTACTATTCCCTTCCAACTGCTCTATATGTTTGATTTCCAGCAGTTCTATCATAAGTACCAAGTTACAGGCTGTAAGATTAAACATTCTATTAACTTTAGTTGAATACCACCAAAGTTTTACTCAGAACAGACCTACTGAAATTAATGAACATATCTAGGTTCATTAATTTCAAATGGTATACTACGAGTAAAATTTAGTTTAATATCACCCATTTATTTTTTAATACCCCCTGCTTCAGAAACCACTATGTAATGAACTACTACAGAGTAAATTAATACAACCCTATAGTACAGAAGCACAAGAAGAATCTTCAGCAATGTGTAAATCAGGCAGAGGGAGTGAGAACAGGTCTTACAAATATACCTTTCCCTATTGTTATCCAAGGAAGGTTGGAAGGTATGCAAAGTCTCCCCAGTTTCAGGAATTTTCATTTCCTGTACTGTAATTTTTCTACATCTTTCATATTTCTTTATGTTTTACTTTATATCCAAGGAGCTCAAGGTAGCATACATAATTCTCCTCCTATCCACATAACTACTGTGGGAGGTAGGTTAGGTGGATTGTGAGTAACTGACTCAAGGTCACCCAGTGAGCTTTTTGACTGAGTGGAGATTTGAATCCTGGTGTCTGAGGTCTACTCCAACACTCTAACCACTACACTACACCAGCTATGTCTATGACACAAAACATCATGTAATAAATATTTTATTTTTCTTCTTCTCTCTTGCACTTGGAGTATATGTCTCTACCCAATTAGAAAAGCTTTTCAAGCAGCTAATAGAGGACTCTGGCCGACAAAAGCATGTGCCAAAATAAATCTATTAGCCTTCAACATGCCACTGTATGCTTCATGTTGTTTCCATCTTAATTTATTTACACTTAGGTTCCACTAAAAATCCATGAGAAAATAAGTCAAGACTTAATTCTCGTTAATTTCAATGGAAACTAACTGCAAATACCTTCACATGGATCCAATGCTTTGTTGTTTTGAGCAACAGGCAAAGACGGCTACCCTCCATATTCACATTGTGCTGTAGAAGGCAAGCAATATAAAACATGCTTTAGATATATTCATTGAAGTCTACCTTCCATTAACCTCCACCTATATATTTTTTCAGTCACTTTCTTCTTTTGAAAAAATTACATTGCTCACTGCTCTAGAATCTTCTTCACAAACATCCCCTTCCATTTGTCTCTACCGATAAGAGTTAAATTATTGAACTCACTAGTATTTCACTTCACTTTGATATTTCTCAGGTGGGGCAATGCAGGTCTGGCTTTCAGAAAATCTTCAGAAGCTTTGTTAGCATGGTAATTGCTGCTTCTGCTTCCTAATTACCCATTGCCATTTTCCTCTCTCATTATATACTAATTAAGTTCTAATCTTGACCATCACCAATCATTC